TTCGAGGCAGTATCACTACGGAAGTAGGATTGCCCAACCTTCCTTCCGAGGAGTGGCTGGTGGGTTTGAACCGCCAGCCGTCTGGTTAGCAGGCAAGTGACTTAGCCACTATGCTACCAGAGCTCCTAGATGACCATAATTAGGTATTTTATTAACATTCTCATGTGTCAAATAGTGGAATTACCAAATGTTATTCATATACTTGATACTGTTTGAAAGCTCGTTAGAAAGAATGGGGAAAACAACAGACACCAGCCTTGACTGGACTGCCTTATGCCTACTATATTAGTGAATGATTTACCTGTATAAAATTCACAGAAAAACTAGCATTGCTCAGTCATCCTAGTTTTATTCTCAGATAAAGAGAGCCTACTCTCTCCTTAGTCACTGACATGCACAAGGAAGAAAGACTGTTTTCAGCAAGGCAAAATTAAGAGATTGCCTCCTAAATTCTGCAGTGATTAATGGCTGTAGAGTGGAGGCCTGTGTCCACTGGTGCTCTCAGAGAACCCCAGGAATGGATCCTCTTTGTAGTATTATGAACTTCTTGTAACACTGGTGCTAGGTGCTTTTCCTGTTCCCAGGTTAATTCTGAAGGTCCTAGAGCAATTAAAATTTAACAGTAGGAGGGGGAAATGCTAGATTATGGTTGTCACCTAGGACTCAGATTGTCTACAACCAAATTTATTATTTTCTCTACTGGTGTCCCTTCCTAACTCACCTGTTTCTGTCAGTGACCCCCCCACACACCAGCTTCCACTGTCATCCTCTGGGCTCAGACTCTTAGAGGTGTCTTTCCGTCCTCCTGTTCTTTAATTATCACTATTAAACCAGTCACCAAGTCCTGTCAGCTTTTCAAAAGCAAAGTCTCAACACTGATCTGTCTGGGCAATCTACTTGTGTAGTGAAACCACCTTGGAAACCCAAGGAAGAGTCACTATGAGTTGGATCCAACTCATTGGCAGTGCGTTTGGTGCTTTAAATCTAGGCTCTTTACCGA